ATACTTGTGTGCAGTTGGTACAACAACCATTTGATGATAACCCGATGCTAAGTCGATATTGCTGAAAATTGTACTACCATGCATACGATCGAATAAATCTTCAATATTCGGCAACGGAATCTTGGGTATTTCGGTCTGGGAATTAACATGACGAAAGTCCAGAACCGAACGAACAGGTGTATCCGGTGTAGCGGTACGCAACCTTTCGCGGCGTGAGGCATTTTGCCTGTGGCATCTTTCTTGGGCACGCCAAAGATATTCGACACCCAATCGCTCGTTGACAGTTGAATCCAGCCTTTTTTCTTGGAGTTTGCCCACAAACTTATCCAGTGATGCTTGTTCCACTTGAGTAGTCGAAACAGCAAGCGATGTTGCGGCTTAGCGTGAGGTTTCATGTTATGATCGAATTCAATGGCTCAATGTGGCGGTAACGTATCCGGCAATTTATCCGGAAACACATCCTTGTATTCATCCAATACTTTTTGAACCACTTGAGGCACTTCGTTTTCTTGTTGCTCCGACATTGTAGAAATTTTCATAATCCAGCCCATGGGTTCTTCATCTTTCAATGCAAAGTTATCGACTTCCATTACCCTGTTTGTACGCCAATCAATTGTGGGGTTGAATTGGTAGAACCATGGTTTTCCCAATATCACGTCAAACTTTTCGTTCCCAAATCCCATTCGATTAATACTTGATCTGCAAATTTCCATCCTTCAAACGTAACTACTGCTTGTACTCGTTTACTACTCGGCGCGGCGTGGATCTACCGTCAAAACCCTCAATAAGTACTTCTTTCTTTCCAATTACGTTGGCAGTTATTTGTGGACGGCACAGATTGTTTGTAGCTCCACTATCGATCAAAATGCGGACAGATTTATCGTTGATCTTCCCATTAACCGTCATCAGTTGATTACTTGGAGACTTCTTTTTAACAAACATGACTTCTTGAGCAGCAAACATTTTCACTTCTTCCGAGTCTTCATTGCCATTATCTTGAACAATTTCCGCGTTATTCTGGCCGATGTTGGTGTTTCGACTTTGGTGTGATCGATAACGTTGATTTCGATTATCTTGGCGACGTCCATGACGTTGATTTCCTTGATTTCGTCTTCTTTGGGAACATTGGGCCATGTGGTGTCCTGGTTGACCACACTGGTAACAATTAGAAGTGTTATGGCGTCTTCTACGCATCTGTGCATTGTCTGCTTCCATATCAACGTCTTCATCTGGCGA